TTCTGCGAGGCAGCAGCAAAAAAAGGCAGAAGCTGCTTTCCAGGCTCCCAGCAAAACCCCTTTTGCCATGAGCAGGTGTGGGGGACGAGAGGAGGGGATGGGTGGGGGATCTGTCCTGGAGTGGGAGGGAAGGAAGGCCCCCGAACCGCTACCCTCATGGGGTCCTTGTCAGGAAGAAGGGGAGGTCACAGTGGGGCCACCCCCTTCCCTGAACAGGCTGCTGCAGGGAACAGCGTCTGGCAGACTGGAGCCACACGCTGCCACCTGAACAGCTAAGGAGGCCACTGGGACTGGAGGGGAGGGAGCAGAAAACCACGGGGGGCCTTTAGGGAGGAAGGGGGGGACACAGCCGGGCAAGCTCCTGACCCCTTCTCAGCGTTTGTCTGTGCAAATCAGCAAACTGCAAGAGTAAATGAGGGTCAGGTGCTCCCGCCACCCCCAGAGCCGTTTGCAGGGGAGGGACTGGTCCTGTCCTCCTGACCAGTCAGAGGTAGGGAGCCTCTTTGATGGGGATTCCTAGGAACAAGCCGACATCAGATTTCACAATCTGACGCATTCTTCTGTGGCTGTGAAATTGGTAGGGCCCTACCCATCTCTAATCCTTACTTGGCCAACAAACTACAAATTCCATCTCAAGTTACCTTGGAAACGTCTCTGAGACAGTCGTCTGGAACAGGAAAGGCACTTTAATGCGAGCACCCAAGGCATTCACAGCTGCAGCCGCAGAATCGATGCAACAAACACTTTTGTAATTCGGATGTGACCCTTTCTGTCTAAAGACATGCCAGAAGACAGCCACATGCCAGAATACCATGGAAAGCATCTCATGCGCTAACTGCACCAAGCTTAAGCAATGCTGCTCTGCTGGGTGCAGAACAAAACTCCGAGCAAGAATTCAATCAGGAGTTTTAATGGTGATTTGAAAACAAATACAAAAGAGTCACCTGTGCTGACGGCCCTCAACAGATCAGAAAACAACAACAACAACGAAAGGTCCTACAGCACCTTAGAGACTGGCAGAAAAATCCAGGTGGTCTCTGAGGTGCTATAGGACCATGCATTGTTTTTTATGTTCTTTTAGTTACAGACCAACTCGGCTGCCCCTCTGACTTCTCAACAAACCAGGGAAGGAAAACACTCGGCAGCACTCAAATGTTTTAGTTTCCTTCGCATCACTGGGTCTTCTTTCACAGCAACACTCCTACGTGCTCCATTCACTCTGACAGCGGGGCTGCATGCCCACTAAGTGGCGGCTGGTTAAAATACACACTATTATACCCAGAAAGGTAGAAAATACTTGGAAAACTGCCAAATGTCCTGGGACGCACTTGCTTAGGGGGCTTCCTGGGGTGTCCCACCAGCACAAAACCCAGGAACACCACAACTTTCTGGAAGGGAAGAGCAAGCAAATAATACTTTTGAGCCCGGCCAGAGGAACCACTTAGCGCATCCTGCTGATGTGAATGGACTTTTCTATTTTTATTTGTGCAAATTAACAGGAAAGGCGAGTGGAACCAGCCATAGCTCATTTGAACAACATTGCCTCTGACAGGAAGAAACGCCTTGCATTTTACCACAGTCTTTTAAAGCAAGTGAGTTTTTGATTACCCACAGCAATGCAACACGCGTATACAAGAAGCTATATTCAAACACACTTAGTCTAGGTCCCGTAATTCCTACTTACCCCACGGCTGAGATTCAATGAGCTTAAGCTGTATACAGGCAGCAGCCTCATGATTCTCTCCAATTTCTCGACACATGCTAAAGCACAGGGCAGTCATGTTGTGCTTCTCACTGTCCCCCGGCCGACAGCGCTTTATGTAATCTAGCAGAGCTGTCTTCAGCGTTCCACTCTGGTTATGAGACAGGGCATCAGAACAGGCTTTCAAAAAGTTGTGGTTTTGGGTTTTATTAGAGAACTTGCAAGCAAAATCAAAGCCAGGCCAATGTTCAAAAAAAATCGTCACCATGCCACCTTATGTTTCCCCTCTACATTTCAACACATAATGGCAATATGATTGAAGTACCACTGAGGATAGGAGACTCCTCATTACACTTAACAGAATTGATAAAATCCGGGAAGTAAGAGCTTCCAATGGTTTTGGACCTTTCGGTTGACCCAAGTTGAGAGAAATAGCTGTTTTCCTTCCCTCCTGTGCTGATTCTGATTGTGACTGTGTCTAAGACACCATGAAACAATCTAGGCCAGTGGTCCCCAACCTTTTAGGGCTGCTGGGTACCTGGGGGTGGGGCCACTCGTGCCGGGCACCCAGGGGTGGGGCCGCGCACGCGCCCAGGGATGGGGCCACCCATACACCGCATGCCCAGTGCCAGCGCCACCCATGCACCACACTCCCGGGGCCGGCGCCTCTCCTGTGCTGTGTGCCCAGTGGCACAGCAGCCCATATGCTACGCACCCAGAGGCTGGCACCACCCATGTGCCACGTGCCCAGGGGCGGGGCTGGCCCCAATCACTCACGGGTGCACAGAAATGGCCCGGCAGGTGCCATGGCGCCCGCAGGCACTGCATTGGGGACCACTGATCTAGGCTGTTAAAGTAACCATATGCGTCTCTTTATAATTATATGCAAGAAAGAAGAAAACATGGTGAAGTGCTTCCTACACTGCGATTTGTATTCCTCAGCCATATGAATATCTTCGCTTTGTAGAGTGAGGTTTTAATCCCAATACTCATAAATTATTAAACTTCCCAGACAACTCAGCTGGCAGTGAAGGTACTGGTCTCTACAACACACACTCTTCAGTTAGTGGGTTCTTTTCTTTTTGGTACCTACCGGGTCTAACTTTTTTCTCATAAGTACTTCAAAGTAATGTTTCTCGTGTAGCAGGTCAAATACATACGTCATTTCATTATATCGTCCAATACCAGTAAGAAGCCGGACCTTTAGAGACAACAGCATAAAGATCAGTGGAAGGTGAAGAATCTCTCATAAAGGGTAGCCATGTATATTAGGATTAGTTTGTTCCTTTTTTGAAAAAAAATTTTTTTTTTTTTACGAAAGGCAAAATGATCAACAGCCCAAACATCCAGCCCTCCACAAAGAAAGCTTTCCATCAAATGCAATCCATGCAGGCGTTTCCCAGTCCCTCATAATTCCCACTTGAAATGATGTCTCGTGTCGTTAAGTAGGTATGTCTCAAGTCTGGTGAGGCTTTTTCTTCGCAGCACCAGAAGATGCAGGTTAGCTTGTTAATACGAATCAGTGCATTTCACCAGAAAATGTCTGAAATGCATTGAAGTCCCCAAACCAAGATACTGCATTGCTCTCCATCCCTGCCTTCTCCCTCACAAACTCCTCTCATGGACTCGCTGTGACGTGGAACCTGGCCAGTAGCAGCTCTGATTATCAGGCCACAAAATACATATCACAAAGGTGACAACTTTTGGTCTCTATAGATGTGGGCAGGGAAAACACCAGTGAACTAGAGGTGAAGGTTTTGTATTTTAATTGCAATTCCACGAACCATCTCGTTCACAGACTCATTTGCTTTGCTACCATTCGTATGGCGCTGTTTAGAGAGTTTGGTTGGTACATACGACGATGGACACTTACCACAAGACCATACTCCTCACTGGGTGCCAAGTGTTCCTCGGTGAGCAGTCGGGCAGTTTGCAGGACTCTACTAATTCCTTCCATGTGACATGTCAGGCTAAAGCATTTATGGGCCAAAATCAGCAGCTCTGTAGCTGAGAACGAGAAAACGTGAGTGGTTCCATTAAAAGCTGAGGAAAGTAAGTCATTGCATCTCTACTGAACACGGTGACAACTTCTCATTTTTCAAGTTAAAAGCTCTAGAAGTGAACTGGAGGCAGCTGGCTCTTTAAAGCTTCCGTAACTATTCACATTCGGTCCAGTTTTCCAGTTGGTCCTAGAATCTGCTCCTTCGGATTATTCTCTGCAAGGTGCATACAATCCTTACAAGGAAAGAAGGCCGCTCGACAACTGCACAGCGTAAAGACCAGATGCCACCAGGCCAGGTCGGTTCTCAATGGGAAAAGGTTAGTGCGATACAGGTCTACCCCACCCCAAGGATGAAAGGGTTAATGTGGGCCTGACTGGCCAAATAACACCACCTGGTTACACGTGGGGGATGGCCAAGGCTCAATTAAAGACAAGTCGCAAAGAGGAAAGCGTTTGAAGACAGGAAACGCAGAGCAGGAGGTGACTAGTGAGAGCAGGAATTAACTGGAGTCTCTCTCTAAGCAGCAGAGAAGGGAACCCGAAGAGAGAGAAAGGAGCAGGGTAAACCACGTTGGGGTGATAACTGTCATACAAAAGGGCAAGACCTGGGCCTACAGAGAAAAAAACTGGAGAGGAGCTTCAGGATGGGATCGGGCCCGGGGGTGAAGGAGATTCCTGAGCGGAGGCCGACAGCCTGGAAATAGACTGGAGTGGAGGATCCAGGAGAAGGACCAGGCTCCCAAGAGGCAAGAGTCAGCATTCTGTAGAAGAATGGAGAGATGGGGGAAGAACCCAGGACGGATTAAAAATTTAAGCACAACAGCTTCCATTATAGTTTGTGTTTCACTTCTGAGTTCGGTGAGGAGACTCCAGAGAAGCCACGGGGCTCCTGCTCTGAGTGGAACAGAAGAGGAGGCCCGGGGGAACAGGAGACGTTCTCTCAATCACGTGTCAAGTGGGACACTGATACTGCAGAAGGGAGAGACTGCGAAGTGACACAGCCCGAGGGCCAAGTCATGGAGAAGAGACCACAGAAAGACCAGAGCAACAGAGGGGAAAGAGCTGCTACACTCTGCCCAATCACAAGAGGGTGCTGCAGCAAGAAGGTGACTTTTCCACACCAAGGTTCAAAGTCTTGCAATGGGATTTGAAAAGACTGTCCATAAATTGATCACAAGGTGGGATTTGATCTGGAACAAGCTCACTCACCCACAATTTAAAATGGACTAAATATATCAGTTTGCAGATAAACCACCTTACTAGAGCACAGATGCCAGATTAACATTGGCTGGTTAATAGGGCGGGGTCTGGAAGCAGGGTGGGAAAGTTAAGATTTTGTGTGTGTATAACTAGACTCTGACAGTGCCCTTCACTGTTGCGTCCTAAACCAGCCAGCAGGGAAACGATTAACCACGGACTCAGTACAGCGGGGTTATGAAATGGTGACGGGGAAGAAGATGCTCTCCCCAGGGAAGAGGAGAGGTAACAAGGTGCCCAGAGGCACAGGCAACATAGTAAATGGGAAGCTGTTTTGCTTATCCACAATCATTACTCTGCAATTACTCTGGTGACCCAAACGTAGAGCCCCCAGGGATGCCAAAGTGTGTTCAAAAAGTTAACACACTAAATTTACTAGCACATTATCAAATCCCTTTTTCCATACGGACTCAGTTTTAACATACTATCCCAGCACCCCAGAACAATGGGCACCTGCCCCACAGCAGCTCCAATGCAAACACACACGTACACTGCGTTGTTACTCATTCCGAAACGTTAGCTACTACACAATACAAAGGACAAATACTTTCACATGCCAGGGGCATTGTAATTTGCACAAACCTTTCCACCACATAAACAACACATTCCAGAACATCGAACTAATCACTCAGGCTGTGTCTATATTGGCGCCATCTTGTGCCAAAGCGGCCGCTTCTGCACAAACATGCTGCCTGTCTACATTGGCGGGGAGTTCTTGTGCAAGAACACTGACGTTCTAATGTGTGAAATCAGGGCTTCTTGCGCAAGAACTATGATGCTCCCGCTCAGGAATAAGCCCTCTTTGCGCAACTGTTCTTGCGCAAGAGGCCAGTGTAGACAGGTAACATGAATTTCTTGCGCAAGAAAGCCCGATGGTTAAAATGGCCATCGGAGCTTTCTTGCGCAAGAGCGCGTCTACACTGGCACGGATGCTCTTGCGCAAAAGCACATGCCAGCGTAGACGCTCTCTTGTGCAAATACTTTAACGCAAGAACTCTTGCGTTAAAGAGTATTTGCACAAGATCAGGCCAATGTAGACATAGCCCCAGTCTCATTCCATTCATAAAAAACATTGTTCGACTCCAACACCCAGACATCACACAGGAAAAAGCTACAGAACTCTGGCCTAACTGAACGCTCCCTGGGACTTCGCCTCTCAAAGGGCTGTACTCCAAGCTTAACGAGAAGTATGTGTGTGTGAAAACAGCATTTTCCCAGAATAAAATAAGGGGCCAAAGTTAAGTTTGGGTGACAGTGCAAGTCCAGTGGGATAAAAGCGACTGGTGAAAGATTATAATGCAGTGGAAAAGTGTCTGGATCTTTTAATTGTTCAGTCTCAAACCTGAAAAAAATGGTTGTTTTTTTTTGCGGAGGGTGGAAATATTAACGGGATTCCATTGTGACACTCTTCCAACCTTAATTTTAGCTAAGAATTTGTTTCTGGATAAAGCTCAGGGTGCAGATTATCCCAACATAGAGAGGATATGAATGCAGACCTTCCAGTTGCACCTGGTGTGTTAAGTCTGATAAACTCTGGGACAGAGAACTCACTAAAATCCTGCCCTTGTCCTTTTTCTCAGATCGGTATTTTCAATATTTACTAAGGACCTTACTTAGCCACTGCTGGTTGGCTGCCAAAAGCATCTTGGCTATATTTTCCAAGAGTAATTACATCATTTCTATGAATGGACAGTGATAGAATGTGAATGAAGTTTTGGCCAAAGACAAACTATAAACATTTAACAAAGAAATATGTAAAGTACCAAGCTGTTAAATCACTTTCCTAAGAATTTGGCCAGAAGATCTTTCTAAATACACCCACAAAACTTTAAATAACATACTGATGTGAGATTTCTAAGCTATCAGTACAAGAGCTCCTCTTGAGTCTTAGAGAGAATTAATTGATATATACTTATGTGCCTATGCTTTGATCTATTTCAGATGCCCGCATTTTGAAATCTTTAATAATTTGGGGGGATTTTAGAAGAAAAAAAAAACTGTAATGAATATGCCCCCCCCCCCAGTGTTCCAAACTCTTAATATGATACAGAGCCCCAAATGATCAATGATATTATAGTGCTAATTGCATACAGCATTATTTGCTATTACTTACTGCAAGATAATTCCCCACGGGGTACAGATGAAATTTTATCCAATAACTTCATCCCAACCAATGTATGATCCTGGCACAATTTAGCCAACTCTAGGAATGCTTGAGTCTCATCTGCTGGGTTCACAATCTGCTTTTGCCCTGTGGATACGCGAGAGACAGACAGACTTACAGTAATGTCATAAACACTAATTGTTCTTGGAGGAAAGGTTAGCTATGTTTATAGAGAACATGGTGTACCCTCATCCTGCATGATGCAAGGACTGGAACTAGATATTACAAGAGGGTCCTTTTAATCCAAACGTATATGGCTAAAAGTCACATCTTTTCTTTGCCAGATCAATCCAATGCAAACCAACTGTATTGCCATATTATTTCTTATAAAAAACACTGACTTTGTTACTGCAGAAAAAAGCCTACCCATGTACAGAAAACAATTCAAACCGATTCACATTATTTTGAGCAAAATAGCTTTTATTTTGCCATAAAAAGCATATTTAAAATATGAGGCCACTCTCCAATTCTTGCCTTTGTAAGAAATTAAAGGAATCTCGCTCACAAGTTAGATGGCTGGTGTTACAAAGGTCATGACTTGTTATTTTAAAGAAACCCCAGTTAGCACATTTTTTGCTCTTAAAAGTCTTGTTTGTAAGAGCCTTAATTAAAACAACAAAGCACTGGATACAAGGTAACAGCTATGAACACTTCAATGAATAGAGCTTTAAAGTTTCAAAGTATTGCATGAACACTGAATACCACAGTTACCACATATACACAATCAGCAAAGTGTTTTTCAGATTGACACACAATTTAGAAGCGACAAGTTTTAAAAAAAGGACTTCAGATGCATGCAGAAGTAAAACAACAGATCACCATCACCTTTTCTTGCAGATGACACCAGTAACTCCTTCATAATTTCTTCAGCCACAAGTTCGGCCACAGTTTCAGACTGGAGACCATGAGTCATGATGAACGCCTGTGCTTTCTTGCATCTGTCAGGTTGCTGGGATGAAAGGATCGCCTGAAGCACCTTTTCAGGATCCCGGGCTGATATTTCACTGTAGGAGCAATTCAATTCCTAAGATACATACAAAATACTTAGAGAAAAATGCAGCTGGCAGAGCAGGTATTCACCCAACAAAGCTCTATTAGATTGAAAACTCAAGGCAAAATTATTCAAAATTGTGTGTGAAAAAGCAGACCTAGGTCTGACCCATCTTTGTACCAATCAATACCGCATTAATTTGTATGTTGCTATGGGTTTTAGAAAGCATGTTAGTGCATGGCTAGTGTTTTATTCAAGTTAAATATGTGCTGAACAGCTGTCCTGTATCTTAACTGGGGACTGTATCAAAACAGATCATGAAAAGTTAGAATTTCCTTGTTTCATTATAGATCGTTCCACAGTATTTGCTGATCAGATTTACCTTCCCCACTTCCAAATAATCCCAAAGCCTCTATACAAACTCTAGCTTTAAAAGAATACTACATGCAGAAGTCGAAAGCTCCTTAGAAACAAGGAGACACTGATGTGTTCAGGATACTAGATGAGATACATGGCTGGTTTGATCCAGCAGAGCAAGTGCTATGTTCCAAAACTACAGGCCAAATCCTGGGGAAGGGACAAAGAACATGTTTAGTGTTTTTGCTCTGTGAGAAAAGTGTCTGGAACAGAACCCCTTACCCGTGCAGCTGGGCTACAGCCACACAAGGAGATCACAGAAGAGGAGCAGCAGCAGCAGATGTAGTTCACTACTTCTGCCAGACATGGTGTTAGCCCAGTAGCTCCGCAGTCTTTATGGCCCCATTAGCAAACATCCCAGGTGTAAAGCTACCACAGAACAGAGTGTTTGCAGACTCTGTCTGCTGCTGCTGCCATCCACTCAGGTTTTAAAGTGACATGCAGCCTTCTGAAGGCAACACATAATTTAGACCTAAGTTACCCAAATGACGAACAATTTATTTCTAGCACATTATAAAACAGGCCAAATAAAAACAGGTAGGAATTCGGCATAATGAAGTCAGATGACAGATCGGAAGGGTTTTGTCCATTTTGATACCTGATCACATCTAGGCCTTGACTGACTAGTGGACCATGTTACTATTTAATAATATCCCCCTTAGGTTTTGTTTCAGCTCTCACGAGTGTTTAGGAATGAGAACCTAGTAAATTACGGTGTGGCCTCACAATAGCTCCACAACTGTAGGTTGGCTTGAGGCAAATAACGCTAGAGTTCTGTAAACTTCGCCAGATACACACCTTAGAAAGCTCATACAAACAGAGCACTTGTCTGCAGTAGTTTCTCCCATGAACACACTCATCTATCAGTGTCCTCAGACTGGTAATAATCAGATCATCTGGAGATGAAGCCAGGACAAGTGACCAATTTTCTAAGCTTGAGGCTGAAAGCAAAGTAAATACTGAAAATGTACATCTCAAAGGAAAAACACGCTGGGAGGGCTTGAAAAAACAAAGGCTCACGCCTAGAAAAGAATAAAACTCCAGGCATGAATGAAAATATTATGTGTTATAGTTTTTCAATCTTTAAAAAACTGAACTCATGGTATCTGTGAAAAAGGGGGAGGTACCCTAACGAGGTTTTAGGAGATGAGCATCATTAAAATAAAAAATCACGATACAAAACAGTATTATCAAATACAATATCAACTGCAAAATTTTTAAAACCATCTGACTATACAAGTGCATAAAGCAACCGAGACAACATCCAGATATTTTTCTGCAGCCTCAAAATAGGATTAGTCCATTGAATTTAACTAATGAGGAGAGATTAAAAAGACTGGGACTTTTCATTTTAGAAAAGAGGAGACTAAGGGGGGATATGATAGAGGTCTATAAAATCGTAACTCGCGTGGAGAAAGTGAATAATGAAAAGTTATTCACTTGTTCCCATAACACAAGAATTGGGAGTCACCAAATGAAATTAATAGGTAGCAGGTTTAAAAAAAAAAAAAAAGGGAAGTTTTTCCTTCACACAGCACATAGCCAACCTGTGGAACTCCTTGCCAGAGGATGCTGTGAAGACCAGGACCTTAACAGGGTTCAAAAACGAACTAGATAGATTCATGGAGGTTAGGTCCATCAATGGCTATTAGCCAGGATGGGTAGGAATGGTGTCCCTTGCCTCTGTTTGTCAGAGGCTGGAAATGGGTGACAGGGGAGGGATCACTTGATGATCCCTTGTTCTGTTCACTCCCTTTGGGGCATCTGGCATTGGCCACTATCAGCAAACAGGATACTGGGCTAGAAGGGTCTTTGGTCTGACCTAGTCTGGCTGCTCTTATGTTTTTAAGAAACATTCTAGTTCTACCTGACAATTATATATTTTACTAAAATTGTACACACCCACCCATATACAGATAATATGTCTAACATATTATCCATTTTCACACTATTAATAGAAAGCAATCTCTTCTTACAATATGCAAATATTGTACACAGAAATGTACTAATAAAATAATAATCCCTACAGTCAAGAAACTACATTCAAGCTAATCTAAAATTTGTATTTTAAAAGCTGGAATATAGATGACTACAGGACAGCAGAATGGTTTGGCTGAAGAGAACTGCAAATCTATTAAGAATGGGTATTTAAGGGATGACATGAGATTGTTTATAGAAGAATTTTGCCTGAATTATGTCAGTTCAGAGTGGGATGTTGTTAGAAATTCTCCAGAGATTTCTGAGGAAATTAATTTTGTTACGCAAAGGAGGAATCTGTAGAAATTCCACAACAGCAATGCTTGTCACATGTCTGCAGCTGAGTGCTAGGATTACTTACTACTTTGTAATCTTCGGGGCTGAGGTGTGTCTCTCTCATCCGCTGTATCTCCCACTAGAAGAACAGCTTGAATGTCCGGGTGTAAGTTGTTTAGATCAGTTTCCCCAGAAGCCAGCGCTCTGCAGTGCAATACTAATGAAACATCTTTGCTATAGAAGTGAAAATACCGGCAAACACGGCTGGCTTCATGTATGCTTCCTTCATCCAGAAGACGTCCAATCAGAAAGCTAAGTGATTCTTCCTCAGCTTTATCCAGTGTGTTCTCAGACACATCTTGGACTGCCAGACCATCTAGTTGTAAGTATTTTGATGTATTCAGAGCAGTTAGCTTTGAAAAGGAAAACTCCTTTGCTAATTTATCAAAGGAAAGTTTACCACTCACTGAAACCTGCTGAGAAAATCCTGACTTGACCAAGCCACCCTCCCTATTTAAGGTCTGTTGTGCTATGCAACAACGCCAGATCCTTTTCTCTATTTCTTCTAATTTGTCCATTGTTGCAGGGTCACTCTGCTCTAGCCAATGGCCAGCCAAGGACAGCAGCAGGTGTTTCTCCATAATGTTATCTGCCTTCTCATCAGCTGAAGATTCAGACAGGATGTTTGCCTGAGCTAAGAAAAAGTCAGATGCTGCTTTGTTGGAGATGCAATTTCTCATGAAACTATCATGACATTTTTTCCAGAAGTCAATTCTAGTTTGTTCTTGATGCCACTGTCCAATGTGCTTTAAAAGATGTAAATCTTGAAGTACCTGCAAAATTCATAAAAGTCTTACCAGCAAGTAACAAAACATCAACATTGTCTTCAGCACCATATTCTGAAAGGTCAGATGACTAGCAGATAAACTGAATAATATTTCAATGTAAGACAATTTGCATGTGCCAGTTCTAGGTCCTTCTGGAAGGCATCCACATGTTGGTGAAAAGGAACACTTTCGACGTCATCAGAGGTATGGGAGTTTAACAACCACAAAAGAAACCTGACTGTGTCAATATTATACTTAGAAGAAAACAACATTAAGTAACTATACTATGTACTGTACCTCTTGGATAACAACACCGGCCACAGGCAGCTCAGCTAATTCTGCAACTTTCCTCGCCAGTGAAAATAATCCTCGCTCTTGCAGCTGCTCTAGAATTGATCTGCATTCATTCTGAAAATTTTCTGAGTCACTACTGGTCAGGATGGAGCGATTAATTGATATAGATGAATCCTTCAAAATCTGACTGAGGGCACACAGTTTCTTCACATCTGGGCCTGTTTCAAGAGAGACAGTACAAATATAAAGGCAACTATTCTGTAACTTAAGAAGTCACTGATATATATGTTCAAGAACATGCAAACTTGTGAGAAATAAAGTGTATGTATTATATATTTAACATACTAAAGTTTTCATATGATCACAAGGTATTTTCAGTTTTCTTTTCATTTCCCATACATTTCTCTCTAGTTATACACTGGTCCCAAAAACAGGTTATATTGTCTCCCAAAGTTATCTATAAAAAAACAATTTTGGTTTCAGAAATTCCTTCACATTATAGTACAATGCTACCTGCAGATTTACAATAAAGAGTTTACCACATTCTCCTCTTTCCATAAAAATAAATAGTAACATAATCCAAGCTATAAATATTGTAGTGCAATCTCTTTATCCTGGAATTGCAACTTAAAAATATAGATTTTTTTTTACATAACTACATTAAAAAACAACACAATATAAAACTTTAGGGCCTACAAGTCCACTCAGTCCTACTTCTTGCTCAGCCACGTTTTGATTACACTTACAAGAAATAATGCTGCCTGCTTCTCATTTACATCATGTGAAAGTGAGAACAGATATTCAAATGGCACTTCTGTAGTTGACATTGCAAGATATCTACATGCTAGAGATGCTAAACATGCATATGCCTTTTTATGCTTCAGCCTCCATTTCAGAAGACATGCTTCTGTGCTGACAGTGCTTATTAAAAAAACCAATGCATTAATTACATTTATGACTGAGCTCCTTTGGAAAGGAGTGCATCTTTCCTGATGCTTTACCCACATTCTACCACATATTTCATATTATAGCAGTCTCAGATAATGACCCAGCGCATAGGGTTAACAGGTAGACCCCGCCAAAAAAACAAATACACTTGATCATGGGCAGGGGGGAAGGGACCGGCCGGGAGGGAGGCAGGGCAGGAAGCAGAGCTGGCCGAGCTCCTTTGGAAAGGAGTGCATCTTTCCTGATGCTTTACCCACATTCTACCACATATTTCATATTATAGCAGTCTCAGATAATGACCCAGCGCATAGGGTTAACAGGTAGACCCCGCCAAAAAAACAAATACACTTGATCATGGGCAGGGGGGAAGGGACCGGCCGGGAGGGAGGCAGGGCAGGAAGCAGAGCTGGCCGGGGGGC